TCCAGACCTTAAACTCCTTTTAATAAAGAGCTGTCATAATTATCCTAGTGGGGGTCATCATGGTAGAAATAAGGTTTTCGCAGAAATTTCTAGATATTACTGGTGGCCGAACATGCTTGAAATCATCTCTCAATACACAAATAATTATCATACCTGCAAGCAAATAAACTTATCAAGACTTAAATACCAAGGACTGCTGAAACTGCTTCCCATACCCGAACGGCGCTGGCAGGATCTATCTGTGGATTTTTTTGGACCCTTACCTGAGTCAGAAGATTATGATTGTATCATGGTTGTAGGCTGTTGACTCACGAAGGCACGCCATTTTATTCCTTGTAATACAAATATTGATGCAATGGGTACAGCAAAATTATTTATCAGCATATCTGGAAATGTCAGGCTCGTTGGCTAGTTCGGAGGTCAAGGGTTGGAACAGGACGAAGTCGGGACAGGATGTGATCGGAACAGGATGTGATCTGAACGGGACGAGGGCGAGACAAGACGGAGGCGGAGTCGGGACGGAGTCGGGACAGGATGTGATCGGAACGGGACGAGGGCGAGACAAGACGGAGACGGAACGGGACGGAGGCGGAACGGGACAGAGTCGGGGTATAAGGTAAAGCTTATAATAATCGGATCAATCTAAAGTCTAGAATAATTACAAGACAAAAAGCTACAGAACAAATCCAGTCCTAGACCTTCCTTAAGTATTCAAGAGCGGCTACTACAATCAGGGGTATGGTAGTCTACAGCTATAACACAGCAACTGATTGCTTATGTTGATTATTAACTGTTGCTATCATAACATTGTAACCATCGCAACACATTGACTGTGTTACTAGGGAAGTTCCTCACTTGGTTGACCAGACTAAGCGCAGCATCTCAGCAGTAGCCCATGGCACAATGGTAGTGACAAGCAGGCCGTTTCCCTCATGGAAAAGCCGGTCTGTGCCAGGAAACACCATAGGTTTCCGGAATCAATTGTATTAGATAGAGGCCCGCAGTTTGTAGCAAAGTTTTGGCACGCGGTTTGTCAGCGTGCAGAAACAGAACATCTCTTTTCAACTGCATGGCACCCGGAAACTGATTGCCAAACAGAACAATTTAATACCATCCTAGAATGCTACTTACGAGCATATTGCAACTATCAACAGGATGACTGGGTTGATTGGCTCTCATCTGCAGAGTACAACGCAAATCACACCGAATCAGAGACTACTAAGGTAACCCCATTTCTCGCTAATTCAGCTCAGCACCCCAGGTCAGCAATAACTCCATATCACCAGTCAAGTCCTAGCGCGTCAGAATACTCAAAAATTCAAGTAAATTTAGGACCATTTGCAATCTCAAAAAAAATTAGTAGTCATAGTTATCAGTTGCACTTACCTGATGACTTGAGATCAATTCACCCAATCTTTCACACGAGTCTTCTAAGACCAGATCCAAACAACCCTGTTTCAGGACAAGTAAACAAGCCCAATCCGCCTATTGAATTCAATAAATCTGGAGAAGACTTATACGAAGTTGTCACTATTGTAGGATCTAGGCGCCTAAAATAGAAAGGATTTCAATATCGAGTGAAATACACTGGACAATACAAAACTTCTGGCAACCATTATCTGATATAGTTTCAGGAGATTCCAATAAACTAGTCCAAGCTTTCCACAAATCAAATCCTCGGAGAATCAGACCTACGGAAAAAGAATACGCCGAAGCCATTGCAGATGCAAATTTAGGGTAACTGTTCAGACAACAGTCGTAAAAGGGGGAGCTACTGTCATAGTTCATATCATGACTCTTCAAAAAAGGGTGAAAGCATGTCTAAGCAGCGGTGGGGGGGTCTAGGTTTCATAGTAACACAATTGTACAGGAGCAGAGAGGACTGGTGTTATTATTGACACTAGCGCCGAGCTAGTCAGAGGAGACCCTTAAGTAGTCCTCGTTCACGTCTGTAGAGGGAGTGCGACGTTTTGTTAGATTTCCATATCTTGTTTGCATCCTATCTTGTCCATGTGTCATCTTATGTATCTTGTTTATATCTTGTATACTCTCTCGCCCCGTAACAGTATCCACTGTATGATTCCAGCCATATCTTCTGGGCTGTTAATCACTACTTCAAATGACCTGTCTTTAGCTTATCGGAGAAATTCGCCTCTTCCCATTGCCCACTGCGGACACGCCAATACCATGTGCTTAACATTTTGTGACGCATGCCCACATTGACAGCTTGGCTTTCCTACTCCGGGTACTTTCCTTCTGTACAGGCAAGAATTGAGCCTGATATGCTCGCTTCTTAGCTGAATGGTGACACTGCTTTGAGCCCTGGTTAGGCTACGGTGAATGTTCAAGGGTGTGTCTTTGAAATTCATTTTGGTGCTGCCTGTTTGTACATCAGTAAATATATTTGCCGCTTCCCAATGTTCTGGATCGGCTGATGCTGGTCGGCCAGGGCGCTGCTTCCTTTTCTAGCTTGTCCACGATTTCTTCCAATCCTGAAAGGCTGGTATCTTTCCAGCTTCTTTCTGCCTCCTCTTATCCTTTTCCCTTCTACGACTTCTTATCCATTCGGCTATATCTTTACTCATGTTCCATACATACAGAGTCTAACTCCCGTTTGCGGGCAGCTCTATCCTCTCACATATCGATCATATTGTCTGTTGAACAAGGAGTTTAGCTGACAGTCCGACGTGCTGGACCCTCCTTTGTTCCAGGTATATCTCTATAGGGAGGACGGACGATTCGTGCTCTAGCACTCTGCTGCTAACAGAAATTTAGGTGCCTGCAACTAGCTCCAAGCATTTTCTTTGAATACTTCTGGGGGGTCACACTATCTTTTTGGGTATCTTTCCTATTGGCCCAGCCTTGGCCCATATCAAGGATCCATAGGCGAAGGCTGATCTCACTATCAAACTTTATAACGGCTTGGAATTCATGAATGTTGCTCTCCAAGTTGATTTTCCGGGGCCTGATTACAATCTATCAGAGAAAGCGCTGACTGTGTTAGCTGGACGGGAAGCTAATCATCACTTTATGCTTCCAGGCCTAGCTTCATTTTCTCGACTATATGGAGTCAATGCTGGGGTGCCACGTGGAAAGAGTTATGAATTTATTAGATTTAATCTGGGTGTGGTGGTGCAGGGGTTATCTTCTTCATTTGGTTAGGTCTGAGGCAACAGGATTTGGATTTGTTTAGTCTGGATATTTGAATTTGTTCTTTAGTTCTAACAATTTTTATGTTTATTGTATAATTTGCTTATTGGGAACTCGATATTTTGATAACATGGTAATCTGAACATATGAATTCATAACCTTTAATAATTCGAGCCTCGATTACTTTCATTTGTACCTTCGCACCTTCGACCTTTGTAACTTTGTAATCTCGAACCTTCGATTATTTGTTTTTGTCAAAATCGACTCGACCTCTGCAGATTAACAGCTTCGAAAATCTGCCGATAAGTAGATTCACAACAGGTTTGCTTTTTGTCATTGAGTCTGCTGGATTATTATTGCTGTCAATCCATACAACCTCGGTAATTTCGCGTCTTTCATATGATTGACACAGACTGTGATAGAACCAAGCTGGCTGTGATGAAATTCGATGTATTGAACTAATTAAAGGAGAAAGGAAACTATTGCTATCAAATAAGGTTACTTATAATCCTTTCTAACTCGTCCCTTCCTTCAATATTTGTAAGGATTCCTCTTCCGATCCTTTCTTTAGGATATAATTTTACCTTTCTTCATATGTTGCTATGACAACAGGACAGTTCTTGGCACATGGTATCATGTTGATATTATGTTAAGGTCTATGTTATGATGAGCTAGTGAAAGGAAGGCAGGTATATATCTAATGGTTTGGTCTGTAGGCATAGAGTTCTTTACGCTTAGTCTTCTGTCATAACCACCACCTTCGGATCACCTCTGGTCACCTATAGTCACCTCTAGTTACCTTTAGCACCTTAAGTCACCATTAGTATTTGCTCGTACCTTTAGACTCTTTAGACACTTATATTACCCATTTTTAAACCTTTAGTTCTCCAAATTATCTCCAGTAGATCTTTAGTCATCTCTCGCGATCCATCCGACCCCTTCTTGCCATTCTATTCCGCCTCAGGTCAAACAACTACGCTCCAATTTGACAAAAATAGATAGTCCTTTAACCAGACGTCATTTCATTCTCACTCATACATTACCTCATTCCAACTCGCACGTCATATCAGATGTCTCCTTACACGTCATTCCCATAATTTAGAGATGATGTAACCACCTTCGATCTTGCTTAGGTGTCTGCCTAAGCCACTACACGGTCAACCTGTAACACAGACACATGAGGTCAATCATCAATCTCTTTTCTTGTGTTGTACCAAGTTTGACAAGACAATTGTACAGAGATTTGGAATCTATGCATACAATTAAAGGGATAATAGTCCGCAATAGCTGTTCAATAGTTGACTTTACTATGGCACCAAAATCAAAACCATGAACCATGATATATAACCCTGATGCGAGAAGGCTTTTTGTAACTCTCCTGTATTTGACCGATGACCAATGGATTATATTAGCTTGATTTTTAGCGTCTGCTAGTACAAATACATAGCCAATTTTGGAGGAAAAGTCCTTGTTATTTGCAAGTGGTGCAACTGATGTCGCTGAATGAAGTCAAGAAGACGTCTGTTTTGTCTATTTCTCGAGCATCGTTGTTATTACCTTATATTTCAATCTCCAAAGCTTGAAAGGCGTCTACAAATTCGTCGCTATCTGCGTAGGATTCATCATCACCTTCGCAGTTCACTATATATTGTTTGTATTATTTATTGAAGCGATTGTGTCAGGATTGCCTTCTGTATAATCTATATACGTGGAGATAACCAGAATCTAGTGTTCTATGATTCTGGTCTGGCCTTTTGGCCGAGTGGTTGTGACCCTGTCTCATGCATAATGTAGGATGGCGCCCTTCAGCCTAAATACCACCTCATTGACCCATGTCTCCGCCCTGCTGTCTACATGCTGCTCTGACAGATTGCCATCAACAAATTGAGACTGTAACTTTTCTTTAAGTGAAGTTCGAAACTTTGCCTTTGATCTTTTGCATTCATCATCGGTATGCTTCCATGAACGTCATTCTTCTTTGCCACATATATAAAATTTCTTGCTTTGCGTGTTATTCTTACTGGTTTGTGCTTGACCTGTTTGATTATATTGTCTGTCTGTGAAGAATGCATATTGGTTGACATTGAATTGATCATTTTTCTCTTCTCCTTCATAGGCCACTATAGAGTTCTGTTGTTGTTTCAAGAGTTCCCCAACTTTTGGTGGCGGGTTTGCGATGGAATATCTATAAGCTGGAATGCCTTTGCACGCAGTAATAATTTTTTCGTGCATTAAAGAGTTGGCACGGAGATCTTCTGTTAGGCCATGCTGGATCTTTCTCAGTGTTTGGACCAAGATTTGCAGACATTTGGATGTTGACTTAGCTTTATTTTGCGACATAGTCAGCTTTAAAGATGTTTTGTTCTATTTGCCTAGATTTCTTCGGTTGTAACCAGGACCTTAAAAGAAGTTACGAAGATGGTCAACTGCTTGCTCAAAAGTTAAGTACTACAGATTTGCTGCGTGGTAGTGCTTTTTGCGAATCCGGACAGCATTACTGAGAGTGCTCTTGGATATGCCTCTCTGGGTACACCAGTGAGATCACAGAGGTGGTGAAAATTCGTCAATTTGTGATCTATACTATCCCCAGTTTCTTCGTATTTTGCCGCGCCAGAATAAACCTCAATCAAGTTCGACATCTGCGCAACGTACGTAGGAGGAGGTATTGGTGACGTCGTTCCGAGAGCCTGCACTCTTTGTGGGGTTTGTGAAGATGGTACTTTTGAATCAGGCAAAACCGGTTGTAGGGGTACTTGCAGGTCGGAAGGTTTTTCAGTCTTGAACTCGCTGCCATTGTCGCTGTATTTCTCTACGATTATATTATTTACTTGGATTGCATCTAGACGTTGTTTCAGCTTTACTGATTTCAGAGGCTCTTCTAAATGTTCAGCAGCATTGATGACATTGCTGTCAGACAATTTATGCTGTTCTTCTTCCTTTGCGCAATTGTAAAGTGCCTGTGAAATAGTGAGCCTATTTGTGTTGCGATCCACGAAAACTCCTCTACTTAAGAGGCAGTCTCGTAGCTGTTGAATTAGTTTCAGTTTAGGATTTTTGAAAGCAGCTATTGTGAAGGTTGCGAAGTCATCTTGGTACTGTTTCCATAGATTTGAGTTAGTAGTATTGTCTTCTTCGTAGAAATGAGTCTTCGTTTCTATGTAGGAACTGATATCATAAGGAGTTGCCGTGCTGAGATCGATTCCTTCATCCCATTTGGCCTCTAAAGCCTTCCAATCTTGTTCTGTCATTTTTAGAATTTACACTTTTGAAGAGTTGATATATCTTAAGAGGTGGGAAACAATATCCTTCCAATTCTATATTATTAACTCTGCTAAATAAGAATCAAACCCGTCGGCGATAATCAATTGATAAGATACGCTATCAAGCTTCCGGATAGATACTTCCTCCTCTTCGACTGAAGAAGAAGTTAAAGGTGGAGAGCAATATCCTTCCAATTCTACTTATTTCCTGATCTGTGCGCGCCCACTGATCAGTGTCGGGATACTTAAACACAGTGCAAAGAACGTAAACTGTATGTCACGTTTCTGCGGTTGTGTTGGTGGATCTTGTCTATTCTCCTATTCTACAAAAAGATACTAATACTCATAATGAACGATGACTAATCTATGACTAACATCGGAAATGAGGCCATGACATTTATACCAACATGAATCTTTCATTCCTCAAAATGGCTCCATCTAATCTTTGCGCCAACAACATGGCACTTCCTCCAGTGTTGAAACTTCATGGCATCTCTAACCTGAAAGACAGGATGCTTCTCATCAAATCGACCTTGCGACAAAACGCTCTTTCAGATTGGATCGATCCAATAAAGACTAAAGCTATCTACAAGTCTGAAAAGGAAACTGGTTCTAAAGATTGGTCCAGCTCAAACAAGCTTGTCAAAATGACACTGGCAATCAACGTTGATCCGGAATTCATTCAGATTGTCATGGCCGAAAATCTAGCCTGCCACAGCCATATAAATCTTTTACGCTTTCTTCAAGGAAACAGCATTGCTGCTGTTGAAACAAGTATCACCGACTTCCTCAACCTCACAGAGAACTTTAAGAAATATTCATCCTGCCAGGCTTATATTCTGGCTCTTGAATCGATGGTCTCTAGTCTTCATTCTCTCGGTACACCTCTTCTCTCTTTTGTATACTGTCTGGTGTTAATCCGTGCAGTATCCACAAAATATCCTCAATAGACATCCACTCAAAGATGCCACTTCTCTGTTGCAAATTCTGTCAATCCTGCTCCTACATTCGACACTCTATATACAACTCTCCAAGACCACATTAGATTGGCTGAGAGCATAGCGCCTATTCCAGTACCTGTCGCAAAAGCTCATGTTATAGGTCCCAAGTGTGAGAGAAACAATAAGTGGGATGGTCCCAACTGCCAATGGTGTACTGGTCCGCATGATGACACGAAATGCTTCTTTAAACACCCAGAACAGCATGCAGAGTATATGAAGAGATTTCCTAGGGCTAATTATACCGAAAATAAAAAGTGGCTTTCTGAATTTCAAAAACATTGCCCACCTAGCAAAATTTTCACTCATTACTCTGGCTTTGATGCCTGCTTTGAGAACTATGATCCATTTCGAAAGGATAACAACAACTGCGTTCAGCCAGCACTTTTTCCGTCACAATCGTCCTCAAGTTGTACTGCTGCTAACACATATTTCGTGGATTCCAATCCAAGTCCTTTCCAATAGGGTTGTGCAGGAGTTTTGAAAACACCATCAACTCCCACCTACAATTCTTTCATGAAGAGTCAACGAAAGGCTATTACAGTATCCCCATCTCAGATAGAGCTACACCAACATAAATGTAATTTCCGCAACGAGGATCATCAACTGTGCTCGACCAGAACTGATTTTAATTCCGCATTTGCTGTAGCAGTCCCGGCTGCAAGTTCTCGTGATGTCTGGTTTCATAATGATGGTGCCTCAGTTCATATCACCAATGAAATAAATGCGTTCTTCTGTTATCAACCAGTAGCTGGGTTGTCTATTGGTAAAACAGGGGGAAGTCCAGTTCAGCCTGTCGGGTTTGGCTACATTAAGCTTCGCGTTCTCTGGCAAGATGATTCAGTCAATGAGATTGTCCTTGAAAATGTTCTCTACATTCCTGGCTTCCCGCTGAAATTTTATTCTGGTTGGCTTCACAATCTTCGGCATGGATAGGATAAACATCGGGTACTATGTGAAGCGGGCGGCTCTGAAGTTTGCCAGCTTCTTCGTGGACAAAATTGTTTACACTTGCACACTGCTTCTTCTACGTTTGTTCTTAATACTAATGATCCATCTATGCGATTCTCAACCTTCCTTTTCTCTCCAGTTGCTGATAATGTCTTTCCTGCAGCAATCCATGAAGCCTCTGTCACTCTCGAACTTTTTCATCGCCATCTAGGACATATTAGCTTTCCAAATATCTGTAACAGCACGGCATTTTGCCATGTCATTACATATATCAGGTGACCAAGAAGGTATGCTTGGTAAGGAGTCAATATGCGTGAGGAGATAAGATAATGTTGCGTGATCCTTGGAAGCGAGAGGACACACACAAAAGCCCGCAGATTCTTTTGACATTAGATTTTCTTCCTTTCTTCTCTGTCTTAGTCTTCGCTCAATAGATTGGATATATAGTTATACAAGCTGTACTTTCGTTTGTGCTTATTCTACGCTGTGACTTAATACTAAGACCACCAAAACCACTCAATGCGACCTCTGCAGGGAGGTTAAATACTAATTGCGGACTTGGTGGCGTGGACAGCTAATAGCTCACATCATCCGGACAGTCATTACCCATTTGCCTCAGGGAAGAGACAAGATTTTAAGCCTTGAATAGATTATAAGACCACTTTATTCATTATTGAGATACATCACCCAATTATTTATGAACAGCTCCTACTGTTATCAAAACCCACCCATCACACTCTCTTACCTCTGGCGAAAAATCGCACTCAACAGCATGCCGGCCCCCACCACCTCCAAAGTTGGTAATAGAAGAGCTGGAACGGAAGATTCGGAAAGCTGGCCCAGAGGAGATTTCAAGAAGTCGGTCTTTGCGACTCGTGCGCCAGGAGATGAGGAGAAACACCACACCGTACCGGAACTCCCATGGAACAAGCCTGTAACCGAAGAGGTGCTGAAAAATGAGTACGAGAAACGTCTCGCTGCGCGCGTCGCCGAAAGCAAGAGCGAGACAGCAGAAGAATGTATAGAAAATGTCCTCAGAGGTATGTGTGTCGAACTCGCCAAGCAATTCGACACCATTGGCGGATATTGTGAAAAGGCACACCAGGAAAAGAAGTAGATAATCTGGCACCAAAATGGGTCATCGAATCAAATTGCTAGAAAGATGCTTACGCAGAACATTCCCTCAAGGATGCAACGTGTAAAAAAGATTCTACTACGTCCGCATCAAAAGATGGCGCAACAGAGTCACCGAAGAAAAATCATAATGCCAAGCGCGAGCGCCAGCAATCTACGTTTTGCTTTCGGCATCGCTTAAAGATCACCGATCCTCCTGTCTTCAAAGGTACAGACAACCCCTCCATCAAAGATTGGGTCTTCGCCGTGGACAGAAAGTTGGAAGGTGATGCAATGCACTTCGACAACAAAAGGCACAAGATTTCATACCTCCTGGGATTTGTTGATAGTGACACACGAAAATTCCTGAAGCCTTACCTCAAGCCGGAAAGTTTCAATTACATTGCCAAAGCTGAAGCTATTGTCAATATCCTACGAGGAGCATAAGATAAAACCGATGAGCAGAAGCGATCCGAGGCTCGTGCCCATTTCAAGAAACTTTACCAAATGGACAATGCTTTCTCCAAGTTCTTCTCCAAGTTCTTGCCCTACGCTTCTGAATTACAACTTCGCAAACAAGATCAGATGAATGAACTCCGGGAGAAAATAAATCCCTAATTACAGCAGGCCATTCTTGGTACAACTTTCAATAACACTTTTGAGATGTCAAAACATTATCTCAAGATTGAAGCCCAATTGGTACTGCTGCAACGAACTACAAACGCGCAATTGCGATACGAGCAACGAAAGGAAAAGATCAAGAAGCCTATTGCTCCACCCAAAGAAAATCCT